CCTTACTTTCCCCATTAGTATATACTTCTTTTGATTTGGTTGACCTTCTCAATTTTGGGGGGTAGTTTCTAATTTTTCTCATAGCCAAGGCCATTTTTGTCCTTCTGGAAGAAGGCCTTGCTGTGGGGAGCAGCAGGACCTGGATTCCTCTAAACTGCCTCCTCTCCCCTCAAGGCTGTCCTGTATTAAAAAATAACATTCAAGGAAGGGGTTCTTTAACTCCCTGCCTCACTGCCCTTTTCCCCTTGTTGAGTTGAGAGGCCATCCTCTCCTGGGAGAAGTTTGTCCTTCCCAGAGATGGCCCTTTAGTGCTCCATAGAGAGCCAAGCGGAACCACGTCGGAACATGCCTCGCTGGGATTCAGACACGACTGTAAAAGGCCCGATCCCAGCCCTCAGTTACTGCACCACAGCCTTGCCCTGGGGCATGCCTTTCACTCCAGCCTCACCGGGCTTCTCAAGTGGCCAGCCTTGCATACACCCGTCTGTTGTATATTTAATTTGGGTCAATGGTAACACAGAAGCAATATCTACAACTTCCAGCAGGAAATGGTGACCTGCTAGAGTAAGCGGGAAAGAGTCACTTCTTCCCCAGCCTGACTGCCGGCTCTCGCCTGCGGCTCCCAGCACAGCAGCCTTTCCTCTGGCAGGAGCAGCCCCAGCAGTGCCGTCCTCATTTACCACAAACCACTGGCCACGATGACGGGAAGGTCTGCTTTTGGCATCTTCAAGATGTTATTCTGTTTATCATATTAAGTGCTCCCTTTGAGTGGAACTCTGTCTGAATGTAGGGAGCTGTGTAGAGCAGTGAGAAGACACTCTCTCTTTCTTCGGGGAGCCTTCATGGGCACACTTAAAATATCAAGCAACACCCAGAAACATCTGCTCCTTGTGTCTCTTGTTTGCCGTCCTTCCTTCACATTCCCGTGTCATGTGGCTTCAAATTGGGTTGAGCAGTGCATTTCTTTCTGCCTTGTATCGTGGTGGCTCCTGGGTCTGTCTCCCTCACTAAATTGTGACTTCCTTCAGCACGGAGCTGCATCTGTTCGCATCCGTCCCTTTAGCGTGAATCCAGGTGTCTGAAAAAGGACTTAACAAATGTGTGTTGAGTGGAAAAGGACTTGACAGCGTCTCAGATGCTCTGCGTCATGTCCCTCCTGCTTCAAGCGTTTTGATTTTCCTAATGTCCAAAGCTCAGTCCTTGGAACAGAAACAACTTATTTTGTATCTGTCCAACCAGGGAGTGCACTTCCATGTGAGAACCCAGTAAATGAACCAGAAATATGCTCATAAGGCATGTGAATGAATGAACACATTAATTAGTTGAAATTATCCTTCATGGTACCAAACGAAAGCCAGCCTTTCCCTAGTAAATATGCTTTGCTACTTGTAGACAAATAACCCTGAGTTCAGGAACCCCGAGCTTCTCCTGCTTCTGGAGCAACGTTGGTGCGTGATGGGGACTCATCAGCGCCCCATCCCCGTTTCTCTGCTCCTCTGGGTTTCTTTTCCCCACTGCCCTTTGCCTGGGTCATGGGAGGCTGCTTGTTTCTCTCTCCCGTCCTCTTATTTTCCTGCCTGACTGTTCTTGGCATCATAATGTGTTTTGCTCTTTTACATCTTCAAGTATTAAACACAGTTCTTATTGGGATTTTTAAACAAAGGAAAGCATGAAGAAACAGAAATGGTGTCCCACACAGATAAACCTCTGTTGATGGCATGAGAAAGGACTGCATTCACATGGTTGCAGAAGTTAAAAAGCTAAAGCGAAGGTGTTTAAACTTCCTGCCCTGCCCATCCATCCTCCATGGTTCTCTCCCTGGTGGTAATTCCAGTTAGCATTTTAGTGTGTGTTTTTCCATAAAAATGTTTTAAATACTATGTACACCAACATATAAAAATTGAAATGGGTTTACGTGTATCTTTTCTATTTACATGGTGCAGTTCCAAGAAAGCTGCTCTGAACCTGTTATCATTTAATATATATTAAAATATGTCTCCATTGCTGCCTCCCCTCCCCCACCTACCTTGTTCTTTTTAACTGTTGCACGTTATCCCATTGTGCAGATGGTCTAAGTTATTGTGCCAGTTCCTTATTAATGGGCATTATGACTTTCTCTTGGATTTTCACTGTTTCAGCAATACAACTGCGATGGTCCTTGAATGGACATCTTCGAACACTTCTTCAAGGCATGTGCACATTTTACATGTTGATGGTATTCCTATATTGTCCTCTGAAAACTAAATTAGTTTTCACTGACTTAGACACTCCCCCAAAGTCCTTGAATGTACTTTTCGACTTTTGTCAACATGATAGGAGAAAAAAATTATCTCATTATTTCAGTTTATATTTCTTTGTGTGTAAAGATGGTGACCAATTTAAATTTATAGGCAATCTGTAGTTTATCTGTGAACTATTTCTTTTTAAAAAAATTGATTTTAGAGAGGGAGGAAGTGGTGTAGGGGAAGAGAGAGAGAGAAAGATTGACATGAGGAGATACATCAATTGGTTGCCTCCCCCACATCCCCCAACTGGAGATCAAACCCATAACCTAGGTATGTACCCTGACCAAGAATCAAACCCACAACCTTCTGGTGCCCAGGTCCACACTCCAACCAACTGAGCCACACCAGCCAGGGCTGTGAACTGCTTCTTCCTACCCTTTGGCCCTTTTTCTGTCTGGTGGTGGCTTTTCCCTTATTGGTTTATATGGGGTCTTTAGCCACCTCCTCAGACCTTCCTTGAGCCTCTATCTAAAATAGTAACTGAGCATGGCCGGGTGTGGCTCAGCAGTTGAGCATCGACCTAGGATCCAGGAGATCGCCATTTGATTCCTGGTCAGGGCACATGCGCAGGTTTCGGGCTCGATTCCCAGCAGGGGGTGTGCAGGAGGCAGCCGATCAATGACTCTCTCATCATTGATGTTTCTCTCTCTCTCCCTCTCCCTTCCTCTCTCTGAAATCAATGAAGATATATTAAAAAAAAAAAAAAGTAACTGAGCCACTGAGCCTCACATGGCTCAGCTGGTTGGAGTGAGTGTCTTCCCATACAGCGAAAGGTCATGGGTTCAATTCCTGGTCAGGGCACATACCTAAGTGGTGGGTTTGATACCTGCTGGGGTGTGTACAGGAGGCAAATGATCCATGTTTTTCTCTCTCTCCCCCTCTTTCTCCCCTCCCCCCCATCTCTCAAATCAATAAACATCCTCCAGTGAGGATAAAAGAAAAAGCATAAGCCAGAAAGAACAAAAAGTCCAGGAGACTGACAGTCTAGGAGACTGACATAAAGAAAAGATATCAGCAAATTTTGGAAGCTGGAAAGAAGAGAAAGAAAAGCCAGAACTCATTTGCAAGAATCCCTGAGGCAAGTCAGGAATTAGAGGCACCTGGTACCTCCGAAGGCTAGCAATGAAAAGGGGGGGGTGAATTGAAAATTTACAAGAGGAGCCCCTCCGCTACCACAATGAAAGTTAAAAAAAAAAAAAGAGTTGTAAAGATGAGGAATGGGGATGGTGGTGTACTGGGAGGGACAGTGGGGTTAGGGTGGAGGTAGTAATAGAGTCATAAGTCTTCCTCCATAGTAGGAAGTAGAAACATAATACAACTTTTTTTAAAAAATTAAGAAATAGAAGAAAAGGCATGCTATTAAGGAGATGATTGAAGATGAAACCACACACAGTATTGGAAGTGATTGTGGGAGTCACAGGGAGGCCTGGGGCTTCTTTGATTTTAGTGTAAGCCTTGGTAGTACTAATAAGTAGTACTGTAACTTGGTAGACTTTTTAAACTATGTACATATATTATAGCGACAAAAATTTAAATGAAAAAAGTTCTTAGTGAGTCTAGCACAAGACTCGGTATTTGGTGTTTAATAAATGCATGTGGAATGGTTGAATGAATATCACTCAATTACTTACAAAACTCTACTTTTCCCCTTGTTGTTGGTGCTATATAGGAATTAGAATTAAATAATGTACTTTAAGGATTGATGAGTAATGTATTTGGAATATCACCATATACGAGACCAGCCTTTAATTTTGGGAACTATAGAATGTTGGAAGACCTCTGAATAAAGTTAAAAAACAAAATGTCAATTTGAACTTTGAATTTATTTCATGCTTTTTATCAAGGAATTTGGGGGGTTAAAAACATGTGTTTATTAAGACGTGACAGTATTTCCTGTACCAGACAGTCTCTCTGACTCGGGCCCTCATTTAGGACAGGAGCTTGATAACTCTTCCCATTGCCCTTTTCTGTGTTTGAAATGAGGTTAAAACTCACTCTGCCATAAGGGAGGGAGCTGAGTATTAGAGAAATCCTGGCACCTCGTTCTCTGGCTTAACACTGTAAACATAGTAACTGAGGCTGGAAGTTGTTACCTCTTCCAAGAGGATAATCAGAATGTCAGAAGCTAGAGATGTAGTTGTGGTAACGTGATTTCTTATTTGAAGCAAAGTATCCCCTCCAGAAAGTTCAAAGTTCTCCTAATATAAGGAGTCACTAGTCAATCATAGGTCGAGCGATCATTTTCCAGAATGGAGAATGTTTTACTGATGGACTTGCACTACAGAATCGAGTCCAATATTTATTTGTAAGTGGCTATGAATCTGTTGGGAAAGAAATGCTAGCTAAGTGACCCAGAAATACTACTGTGTGAGGTCACGGAACAAATTTGATTTCTTTTACTTTGTGAGACACAGTTAAGTTCGACTCACCTCGCCCTTCCCTCTGTGTGTGTTATACCAATTGGCCTAATATCTTGAACACTCACATTGGGTTTTTAATCTCACAATTTTATACTCACAGAGCTATTATTTAACTAAAGCATAATTATTTTTTGCTACCCACTTATAGAAGAAAATAATTTGGAAATGGTACTTAAGGAAAAGCTTCAAAAATGAAATATTGCACCTGCTAAGGTTAAATATGTAATTGACTTGGGTGTCTTCTGTATAACCAAGTGAATTGAAAACCATATTTTAAAACTTTTATTGTTACTAGAGTGAATTACTGGAATTTAAGCGACAGCAGGAGGAGGAAGAAAGAGCCAGAACCCACCACGATGAGCACAGGAGGTATGAATGGCTAATGAAACAGCGCCCTTGGTTAAAATGACTGCCTATAAATTGCTTGCAATGCTTTAGGAAAACGCTATAGTAACATTGAATACAGTTTTAAAATCCAGATTATCTTTTTAATCTTTATATTATTGGGGTGTGGTATGTGTGTGAGGATGACAATTGCTACACACACGTGTACATAGACATACAATACCCATTTTTTCTGGATAGGCGACATTTCCACTCGAAAGCTGAATTGTGCTCTAAGCTGTATCTTTGTTTAGATTATATTTCCTTTGATTGCCATGGGAGAAAGCGTCTTCATCTTTGGAGATGATGCATGGCCATTTGAGACAACTTTCGAATAATTGGACTAGTGTAGACGGTGAGATACCCATCCTCGAATTCAAAAGTTCGTACAAAAAATACCGTAAAGTTGTTTTATATTGACTAACATATTAGGAAAAAAATCTTAAAACAGAACCAGTAAGGACTTTTTAATAGTGTAAGTACTCTGTATCCTATTCCTAATAGCAGACATTCAGTGCCCAGTGAAATATGTTGGGATAGCGCTAACGGCCACCATATCTGTCATTATTATGTTAGGATTTTCCTGAGAGACACCTGGGTTATTTGAGTTTATTGCGGTGAGCTTGAGTGTCTAAGGAGAATAATTTAATGCAAAGGCGCTCATGATTTAAAGGAACAAATTCTTCTTTTGAAACTTTCTGGCTTCTTTTATATGTTTAAATTCCCACTGTCACTAACGCGTATTTTTAAATTGTGGCAGTTTCATCTTGTAAATGTGACTTTAGACGTTGTTAATGGGAGCTCTCAATACCCTTGCAGCCACTAACTGTGGGTGGCGCTCATACTCTTTTGACTAGATTATTCCGCTACTATGGTACAGTCAAAATAATTTAAAAATGTCGAATGTGAATTTATGTGTTCTCCTGTGATTATAAGAAAACATCAAAATTCTGACACAATGATTAGGCTATTTTGCTGGGTAAGGGGACACCATTACTGCTACCTATTTTTATAAAATAGGCCATAAATTAGTTTAGTCTTTTATAGGTTTAGCTCATTTCTCTTTAAATATCTTTCTATTAAAAACCCCTGATATTCTATAAAACAAGTTGTTAGTACTGGCCAGTTATTTCTCTGGACTTTTGAGGATTAATTGGATTGTAAAGCTTTAAACATCTTAAAGATAGCGATACATCACATCAATGAGCACTGTTGCCAAGAAATTAATCTTCAATGGGCATCCAATAAAAATTAAAGTTATTTGATAGAGGTGGAAAGGATTACTGTTTTGTTGTTGTTAGGAACCTTGACCCCCATTCTTTAGGTTTATTTCAATACTGCTGAAGACTTAAATATTGGTGGGGTATTTATTTTCTATACCTTATTTTCTCTTTCTATTGATTCTAGTTAAATGTAGATCCAAATTTAATCCATGAGGAAATCTCTCTGGATAATAAACTTAATAATCAGTTTTGAAATAACTGATCAAGTCTTTAAACATGTATTTTATATTCTGAGTCAGTTTTTGAAAAGGGTTTATATTTATTTTGTCTTTTAGGGTTTACAGTGAGCTTTTCCCTGCTATAGGGAAATACTCATTTAGTAACCACTTAGTGAATAAAATAGCTGTGCTCATTCCTGCTGAGGGCAACGACACAAGCTCTATATGTAGGGGACATAATTTAGCTTTTCTCTAGGGACCTTAATTCTATTACAGTAAAAAAGACAATGTGCTTTCTGCTGTTTAGAAGTTCACACAGCTGAAAACTCAATGCTGAGCTTTATAATAGAAAGCTTGTGAGATTCCTCACAGGGCTTTCAATGAGTCCTGTCATGACTGAACTCGAGTGCACCTGCACCTGACTCGGTGTAACTTTTGGAGTAAGAGAGGAAAGTTTAGACTCAAGAGAGAAAAGACAGACCATGGAGGTCAAGGACTTGAAAGGAATTGGACCGTGAGCTGAAAGCTGGTATGAACTGAGTTGATTTACTGAAACTTGAACCACCCTTGAATAACAGTTTTTTATCAAAATTAACCCGGAGAAGAAAATCCAGAGCCTGAATTTGACAGCAATAAAATGTATGTACTTTCTAACACTAGTAAACAAAAATATAAACTGGTACTTTTTTTTCCTATTTGAATTTTCAATAGGAATTGAGAAAAAAATCTCTTTACCACCCATGATCTCTGGTTGACCCACTCTGCTGTCCTCCTAGTAGCTGATGCTCAAAAGTGAATTGCATCACTCTGCATGTGTGACAAGACATCAGTCTGCACAGTGTTTGAGTGAATGGAGAGCAGTGAGCAGTTTTGTAGCCTGCCCTCACCACCATTGGTGGTTTCACAATGCAGCTGCAGTCACAGGAGCAGGAATAGGTAGAGACCATGCCTGCTTGGTCCCCACCTGTTGTTGAGCAGATAGCAACCCAATAAGCCAGAGATCCAACTGGATAATTCATTCATTTGCCTTTTACATATCAGGGCATGTGAAGTCTTTGTTCTCAGCACTGGGAATAGACTAAGCAAGGCGGAGAAGTCCCTGACTGCATGGAAATTACAATCGGGG